CTGAAAATTTAACTGGCTAAAAATTTTAAACCCTAAAGCATAATTCTCAACATGTCCCTCAACTTACAGGCAAGAGTGAGCGGGCGTGGTCGCCTGTCTGTGGACCATGAGGTCAGGTTAGAGACACTGGAGCATCAGCTGGCACATCTCATGTATGCAGGGAAACAACAGGTAAATATGCAACAGGGTAGTTTTCTTTTCCAGCATATGAAATGGACAGAAGTGTAATGTCGTGTACATAATGGCCCAGGATTACTAATGATGCCAGACTAAAGTTTGGAAAAGTTCTTATTAAGGATAAATTAGTTTTGCAGTTTTCAGATATTTTTATCATTTCAAAAACTAGATTTGCTTGAAGTTGTTTCAAGGTAGTAAAATGGTACATCTATTTCAGTCTAGAAAAGCAAGTTCCTCTTCACCCCAGGAAGGGCATGAGACTGCTCCAGAAAGGAGACCTACCAGACAACCTGCTAAAAGAGGTAATGGCATACTCAAATGTATAGCCCCTCTGAGATTAAAGCTTAAATTATTCTCAGATATGTTAGCTTCATAAACCTTAAGGTTTGTGACTATATTTGATATGCTTCTTGTTTACATTTTTAATGTACACTTGATAAATACACAGACATAATTCCAGATAGCGTCATCATAGACCCTACATTAACTTCATTGAATGACATTGACGAATTTCTACCCAGATGTGGACCACACTGATGAGAGTGATACAGATGCTCCAGGCAGGAGGAGGAAGGAGAGGAAGACGAAAACAGCAGGACGAAGTACAGCAACATCCAGGAGGAGGGAGGAACTTGCCAGACAGCAGAAGGGGCAGATCAGGTACATGTACTGATAAAATCCTCTTATAAGGTCACTGCAAAGATACTAGACATTTGTACATGAAGTTAAGATCATAGTCCCTTTAGTAGTAGTGTCTATGCCCCTGCTAAAACTATCATCCGAAAGCTGTCAAATGTCAGAAGGATCATAAGTACTGTTATTAGGTCAATTCTATATGAATGGTTTATTTCAAAAGACAGACATCTTTGTCACAAACATGGCACCCAGAACAGCTGACTTGCATCAGGACATTACATGCATGGGGATTGAGACATATTGATAGAGTAAAAATGATCAAAATACAGGATTCCTCAGTTCTGTATATCAAATAAAAGGTAGACTGTTAAAAAGTTACAAAAAAAACCTTATCAGCGCAACTATTGTTGGATATCTTGCAGTGATGAACAGAGGAAAGGAGGCACCACCACCTCCAGCCCTCCCTCAGACACCAGCCGACCTACAACAGTGGCTGTGTCCATGAGGGCGCCTCAGCCCCGGGATGTGGAGGCAGACAAACAGTTTCTGGTGAGCCAAGAGAAAACATAACAAACACAACAAAATTCCTTTATGCTTTGTGAGAATCATTTTCAGTCAATGTAGACATACATGTAGGCAACCAGAGTGCATAGTTTGTTTGAATGACATGTTTTTAGGAATAATAGTTGAGACCAAAGTTTACATCATAGAATTCTTAGCATCCATTGTACAGTTCCTTTGCATTTGCCTACTCCCTTTGAATGTATTTTCAAACACATCTACCTGGCCTATTTGCAGGACTTGATGAGGGAACTTGACAGTGAGAGAGAAAGGAGATGGAAGGCAGAACAAGCAGCCATGAGACTGGCTGACCAGGTCAAAACACTTCAGGAAAAAGGTAAGCTTCATCTTAGAATAGTCCACAGGCCTATATATATATATATATAGCTACTGAACGTGTTACAATGAGTGTGTCACTATTGTTTCAACAGGTATTAGAACTGGGAAGACACTCTTCAAATCTGTCACCAAACATGACTCATGATGGTAAAACATTGTGTGGTTACTGCTTAGAATCAAATATTAATTTTATCCCCCACTCTACCTTCCTGTCTCCCACTCCAGGTTCAGAAGAGCAGGAGCTTCAGGCTGTTGCCATCCAGGCCACCTCCAGGCTGAAACAGGCCCTGATGAACGAGCGAGAGACCAGGGGGAACCTGCAAGATCAGCTAGACACTCTGAAGGTAATTTCAACACTCTGCATCTTCTGAAATAAGCCTCCAGGGACTTGATAAGTACTATATAATAGTGGTGTTGTTTTAGATAAAGGCAGAAATGTAAAGTGACCTCACCTACATGTAGAACTTTCGACCAGTCACTCTGGTCTTCTTCAATACACTGACCCAGTGAGACTTGTCACATGGCTTCTCTGAAGTTTGCTTAGAGTTAAGAATTAGACCAGAGAGTCTCTGAAAATTACACTACTGATAGATGATCTTGACTGCTGTACAATTTGACTGGAGCTCTGTTCTCACCCAATAGGAACAGCTGGCAGGAACAGTAAAGAAACTTGGAACAGCTCAGAAAGCAGAGGAGGAGCAGAGAAGAGCCCTGCAGGCCATGGAGGAGACAGCCGCCAGGAGAGAGACAGACAGACTACAGCAGCTCGCTCATGAGGTGGGTCCTTCTCAGAACTGAATTGAACAGGAGGAAATGAAATAACCTCCCACAGTTAAGCTGTCACTATGTCATTGATGTAAAAAAACTGCATTGACTGGTCACCATCATCTCTGTTTAGAGTGATGGGATTGTTTGACCTCATTAGTCTAAGTGTTAGAAAAAAGAACAACAATCTTATCAGTGGACAGTTGTAAATATTACGGACATGTATAATTGGAGATGATTATTGGTAAGATTTTATCTAGAAGTGATGTCAGTAGAACATATATTAAGCAGGTTGAGTTCAAATTTTGTTATTTTGTATGTGGCACATCACATTGCTATTCACGACCACAGACTAAGAAGACCCAGGAATCCCAGATGAAAGCGTCGGCCTCCCAGAGGGAGTTGGAGCTGGTACGACACTCCCTACAGCAGAGTAAGGACCAGATCCAGGCACTACAGGCACTCCTGGCAGAGAGGGAGCAGGATCACAGGTTTGGGTTATGTCATTACAGGATACGGCCATGTTGATTTGATTATGTGGACGACATCCTCTTGGAACCCCAAAACTGATGCATGTGTGTGAAAAAAAGTTTGGTAATAAAAAGTTGTCTTCATTATGAAATCTATGTGGTCTATGTACTTAACTGTACACAATTCTTAAGATATTTATACCTTGGCTGTCATTGCAGGAAGGAACTTGCAGGTCGGTTTTCCCTGAACAGTAAAGAATTCCAAGAGGTCCTAGCTAGAGAAGTTGCAAAAGAAGAAAAGAGGCACTCCCAGGAGCTTAAATCTCAACAGCAAAGGTGGGGTAAAACATGACTGTCTCTTGTCTGTCTGTGCTTGGCCCTTCTAAATTGGCATTGATAACAAATAACATTTTAATAAATAAATAAACAAATAAACAAAAGCATTCAATTTGATTTTTTTTTCACAAGACTGGTGTTCAAATAATTCTTATCATAGTTCTAATTTCTTGTCAGAATCGAGACCCTGACCAAACAGTACACAGATCTGGAGGATGAGTTCAGAATGGCTCTACAGATAGAGGCCAGCAGGTTCAGGGAAGTTCAGGAGGCTTTTGAGAACGCCACAGGGGAGTCCTCCCGGTACAGGGCAGCCATGCTGTCAGCTCAGGAGAAGGAGAAGAAGGTGTCGACCATGGTGCAGGAACTGACGGCCATGGTGAAGGAACAGAAGGGCAGGATAACAGAGCTGTCTAAGTCACGGCAGGAGACACTTCGAGATCTTAGGGTCAGTATATTTAACTGTGTGTCTATAGGGAATACAGAATATGGCCATTGAATACTTCCGAGGAAAAATGATGATCCTCAATGAGTGTATGATTGATACAGGACATAAACCATTTAAGCTTTTTTTTTCTGAAACATAAAGCCTGGAAAAAGTTTTGACTGGCCAGAATATAGCTACAGAGCACTGAATGTAGGTACATGTAATATATACATCCTATAGTCTGCACTTTATGGTAGGAAATTCACCAGAAGATGAATTTAAAAAATGATTGAACATTGTATATTTCACGGAATGAATAGTATAAGCTTCCTTATGATTTGTATTTGTATGGTTAGAAAAACATTTTCAACATCTAGACTCCCAGATTTGCAGCCATTGACCAAAGGAATTGGTGATAGGGGAATGGAGCTAATTTAAGATGCTATCATCGTACAGTTACCTGAGTGTATGGACTTTACCTCCTTGTAGGAACGTAACCAGACCCTTGAGACCCAGCTGGAGGAGGCTCGGAGGAGACTGCCTGCTGTGGAGGTCATGAAACAGGACAAGGTCAGGCTCCAGTCTCAGCTGACTGCACAGGAGTCCGTCATCGAGGGGCTCAGGGCAGAGAAGAAACTCTGGAGCCAGGAACTCGCACAGCAAGGTCAGGGATATTCACTTGTGTCTTTCAACCTATATATATATATATGTGTAGTGCTTTTTAGGTAGGTCATTATAGGTGCTCACCTGGAGATATACACTTTCTTTCTTTCTTGCTGTCGTCTCAGCATTTCAAAATAATCTTCTCTGAATTACTGTGTATTAGTGAAGTACATGTATTGTAACTTGTGTAATGTATTGTTGGGATATTGTGTGATGGTTGTCTACTGGTAAGCATTTACAGTAAGATTTTACCATTAACAATCTTACTGTAAGGAAACATATCTGATGATTCAGTGTATAGCACAGAGTATAGTATAGTTACTGTAGATTCATTCCTCAAGCTAACTGACAATCACATATCACACACGCAGTAAGACATCTGGTAGGAGCCGCATAGATCCTGTTTAGAACTTTTATTCAGCCTGTCACACTATATAAGTGTATAACACAGTGCATGTGTTTCAACACTGTCATTGCAGGAGCTTCCCTTGCCCAGGATAGAGGACGATTGGAAGCCAAGATAGAAGCTCTGTCAGCAGAAGTCAGTCTCCTTAAGAAACAGAATGAGAGAGACAACGATGCCCTTAAGATCAAGACAAAGATGTTAGAGGACCAGACAGACACTATCAGGAAGCTGAAGGAAGGATTGAAAGAGAGGGATGAGGAGGTGAAGAAAGCTAGGGAGGAGTCACTTAAAGTACAGAGGGACCTGGAGAGTAGGGTAGCAGAGGAGACAACACATGCTCAGGATCTACAGGTAATGATAGGAATATCAGGGCTTGAAATACTGGGTGCATATACACCTTTAAGTTACTGCTTAGTCCAGCTTTAAATTTCTGCAGTATAATCTTAATCAATCAAACTGCTGAATGTGCATATGTTTAAACTTATCCGAATGCTGATTGTTTCATGCATGTATGCTATCTACACCAACATGTCCATTGCAATAAATGTCAAGAACAAGAACATGCCAACATACGACCCTGATGTCTGTATCACCACAGGAGAAAGTTGACCAGCTGACAGAGCGGAAGGAACAGCTGAAGGGACAGCTGTCCGACGTGCAGGACGAACTGGAGGAGAACCGGAAGGCCCTGAACGTGCTGGACAGGAAATGGAAGGACAAGGGACAGCTCATCGGCACGCTGGAGACTCAGGTAATGTTGGACTCTCCACTATACACACAGTGTATGTCTGTCAACCTTTCAACGCTATCAATAGTATTATATTATTGCAAGAGATTCAAAAGTCAAGTTTAGGCTAGAAAAATGTTTAGGGATGTGATAGTATTTATTTATTGATAATGATCTCCACCTTTTGGGATATAATGGTCAATGTAATACAAATATTTTGAAAGTACTGAAGTACGTGTGCCTCTAATGGTGCTAACCAGATACTAAAACCTGTTTTTGTAGGTTTGGATATCAGTTACAATAACTGCCCTCCTTACTTAATAGTATCTAAATTGTTGACATGTTTTTTTATTTGTTTGTCAATGGAACATTAAAAGTAACACAGTTTGGTGCAATCTCAACTTCAGGTCAGACAAGCCAAGGAGAACTTTGATGCCAAAGAAAAGAAGCTTCAGGAGGAGAGACAGCGAGCCCTGGAGGCGGAGCAGGCGGCCCTGGACAGACTGAGGAGAGCGGACGACGCCTTCAGACAGCAGCTGGAGGCCAAGGTCGCAGCACATGAGGACGACCTTGAGAGAGCTGTGCAGGAGAAACAGGAGGAGATAGACAGAGCGAATCAGAGGGTGGTACAGGTGGAACAGGAAATGAGGGAGTTGTTGAGAGAGACAGAAAACAACAAGAAAATGACAGAGGAAAGGGTGAAGAAGCTAAACAAGGCTTTTTATGAGTTGCAACAAGGTTTGACATAACACAGTGTGCCAAATATTTGATGTGAACATTATGCAAAGACAGAGCCAGTGTATCTTTGGGCAGAAATTTGCCATTACTGCTTTTACTCTGGGACCAAATAAATGCATTGTAGCATAATGAAACACATTATTTTGTAATTATTCTGTACAGTTCCACCAGTATGCAAAATTATTATGTCTGACTTGTTTCTATTCTACACAAATCAAATTATGCTGTATTGCAAGAAAATATTAGTATAAGATGTATTGTTTTATATTTGCAGTGGTGCAATCCACATGTCGTACAATTCTTTTAAAATATATAATTAATTATTCTTGTTGCACAAAATGTCAACAGAGTGGTTGTATTCAAAATAAAAGTTAATGTCATTACTTATTGTTCCTGTTTCTTACTTTTGTACTACTGCTTTAGGGCAGACATAACCAGACGCATGAAGGGACCTCCTTGTCCATTAGCCTCCTGTGCAGGCCCCGCGGCGGTGGAAAAGAGTTTTAACGCGTTATTTTAATATAGCCGGCCATCCTACATAGCCGCCGATAGAAGGTTCCATTCCGCCGCGGGGCCTGCACAGGAGGCTATTTGTCCATACCGTTTCTGTGACTGGCCTGGGTGAGTGCGTCCAATTCCATCTGTCAACGCCACAAAAAAGCACGGCCATGCAAACCAGTTGGGGCGATAAATTTGTACCTTCAGGCGCGGTGAACTTTTTTTCTATCAGGCGTGCCTTCACGGCTAATTCCCAACGAAATGACCGCTAGTTTGTGTCCTTTTGACCATGAATGGGCTGGAACCCGTGCGGACCTCTGTAGTCATATAGCAGTCATCTATAGCCCTTGGCGCCGCGTTGTTTCGTCCGTGAACGTACCGTTCTAGATATCGATAGCCAGATATTTACTTTGTTCATAACACAACTTGGACAACCATATCGCATAGTTGTCGACACCAACTACCTGTGCTCAGTCGTCGAAGTCCAACAATTCCATGAGCTCTCTGTGACGTATCTCGTGACGATTCACCCAGCAGGCATGGGCCCCCATCACCGCGATTCCCAGTAACACAAGTGACACGCCTACCAGTTTCATAGGGCTGGGGAATTTGGACTGAAAAATGTAGTCCAGCAAAAGAGTCAAAGGTACAACGAGCGTCATCAATGTCGCCGTAACGCCAGCTTTTTCCATTTTCAGCACGAGTTTTAAAGACAATGATGCGCAAAGCTCGCATAGACTGAGCCCGACAACGTACCCTATAGTTCCTGCAGACAGTGTCCAACGTGGTGTCTCAAGTGCATACGTCAACGGCAGCAGCACCACTGGTCCCAGCACATGTGAGTACAAAGCTACCGTCAGTATGGGCATTCCACGAACCCCGATAAGTAATCGCATAATGACGTTATTTGGACCCTTGGTGAAAGCTGCCGCAAGTGGTAAAAGAATGGCGACAGTGAGCCGCTGTGTTGACGAAGCGGCATCCATGCTCATTCCGACCGCGACAAGGATAACTCCAGCTGCGCTGCAAAGGACTCCGCAACAGTCTACGACACCCAACGTTTCTCTCAGGAAAATAAATCCTATACAGGCAGTAAAGAAGGGTATCGATCCTTGTATGACACCCAAGGCGATTCCTGGCACGACAAAGACGAAGGACATATATGCGAAGATGATTCCCGCGTTGTCAACAATTCCTGACAAGACCAAAGTTATGGTTTGCTGTTTGTCCTCGGCTGTGAGCTTCGGTTTAAAACACGGTATGACGAGAAGGATGCAGGGGAGCTGCACTAGCTTCATGAGGAATAACAGCTGCAGTCCGGGAACTCCTGCCTGACTACTCAAGGTCATAAACTGTGCTGCGAAGGCGCTCATCAACGTGCAGAGGAGAGAAAATAGTATCCTCGGGTCCATCCTTGCTCTAATACTTGCTGCGTTGGGCTGGCACCAGTTTTTGAAATAGTTAAAGTGAAATGACCTTTGAACAGGTAATAACCGAACAGACCTCTTGATGACAGCAGTCATCTGTAGCCCGCGGCGCCGCGTTTCGTCCGTGAACGTACCATTATAGATATCAATACCCCTGCCTTTAAACTAGGCAGATTTTTGCTTAAAAGTGGTTAGAACTTCTCTAAAGTAGCACGACACCGACCACAATTGACCTATTTGCGGGAAACACCAGCAACGTCTGCAACCCGGCACACTTTGTACAAGAATTTGAAGAAGTTGAGGTAAATACCTAAATGTCATTACAGGACTTCATGGGAAAAGAAGCTTGAGCCGGCCCTTGCGTAAAAGGTTACTGGCACGCCATGTTGAAGACTGAAGCCGGTTGTCCTATTCATATTACGCCCAAGGCTAACATTACAGTATCAAGTTTTATTAAGCGAAAAGTTAGTACGTATGTCGAAGTTCATCATGCGGAATCACTGCTGCATGAAATATAACATCTAACGTTAATTGGTTACTAGTAACTTATTGCGAGGCAAACTATAACGTTATATACAATCCTTCCTTCTAGAAGGAGTGGGTATGTGTGACGCAATGCCGGTCAGGCGATCTTATCTACAGCAAGCGACTACATGATGCTATAACTAGTATAAGAGTGCTATCATTGCTGACTTGCTTTTAGTCTAGCTAGCATACTATCGTCTACTATCTGAACGTAGCTGAGGTACTGGAAGTAGGTAATAGAGAAAATGACACCGTCAATGGAGATCAATGAAGACTTGAGGTAAAAAAAGACCTATTAGCATTAGACCAAGAATGAAATGGTGCTGTCCCATGGAGACTAGAGCCTCGATGCGTGTTTCTCTTGAGTTGCTGTACTGAATTGGCAATAAATCTAAATGCCTGTGAAAGCCTATGTCGCGGAAGCTTTCCCACCCAGATTGCTATCAGAGGTCACCCGGTAACAGGTGTTTGCTGCCAAAGTCCACTCGGCCGTGAAATACTCGAGGCTGGAAACCGGTGAGGGTTTATATTCTTCCACAGCTGTACAAGTCAAAGTTTTTAATACACGGGGCGGAGTCGGGACTCACAGTAAGTAACATTTTCTTAAACCGCATTGAACTTGGAGGAATATTTTGCAAACGTGGGCGGGAATTATGCCACTGACGAGGCAAGGCTTTATTTCATGAACTTAGGAGAACAAGTAGTTTCATGAACTCAGGAGAACAAGTGTTTATATGGAGTTGTTTCCATTGGTATCTATTCTAGTCAGTCCTGGCGAGTCAGAACTATACTGTTAGCTCATTATATTCCTAAGAAGCAAAGACATGCGAATGACCTTACGGGCTTTTCTGACTTCACTAAGGACCATTTCATTCAATGGAGTCATTTGGGTAGCTTCGACTAGGATGATGCAATAGGAAAGGATTATTAGAAATAAAACAAGTGCTTTGTTACTCTATAAGTATATGTAAGGCCCGGTTTAATGTTTGACGACACTACAAAGTCGCACGGAAAGCCTCCGAGAATCGTCACGCGAAAAATGCTGATCTGAACCCTACATCTGCTTGGAGATTAGCGTGACCCGTGCACGACCTTTGAACCACATGAGCTTTTGCTTTGTGGAGGAACAGAGGAACACGCGTACCCACGGACACAGACACGTACCAGCAACTACCTTCTTACAGATAGGTATTGGGTACCGTTAGCCCTCAGTGTATATTAGAGAATTGTGTTAGTAAGCATCAGTGTGACTGTGCGTATGATGTGATCGTTCGTCTAGTTGGTCAATGGGTTTACGGAAAACATTGGCTGTGCGTACTGATAGTATGGACATAAGGCTGAGCCATGTGAGGTGTATTTTACATACTTCACTAATTATGCACCTAGGCCTGATTTCATGATTTCTATATCCTTTAACATTATCATGTTATACTGCCATACATGTCAAATAATGGTTTTTGAGCATTTGATGTGTTCAAGGTGCTTATGTGTTTTGATATATTCGTACAGAGTGTCCAACATGCTGTCAGGAAAGATAGCCCTGGTGACAGGTGCGACCAGAGGTATAGGGAAGGGCATCGCACTGCAGCTGGGAGAGGCAGGAGCTACAGTCTACATCACAGGTCTGCATGGGGATACGTATAGAAATCATGTCACAGAAAAGGTGTAATGCAATAAATACCCGAGTTATAAAGGTAATAAATGTCTCACCTGTCTCATAAAGGTGTATTTCAATAAATACTTAAATGTCTCATAATATGTGGAAAGATATAGTTTGATCAGTGGCAGGGTTAATTTGTGCTGTAATAGTTGTTTTACCGTCGGGATGTATTCTTGTGTAGCCTTGATGAATGGATGGATGGACGAATGAACAAATGTACGAATGAATGAAATGATTGATACACTGTTCACCAAGGATTTCTATTTTCATTTTTTGGTGAACAGGCCGCACCCTACAGCGCACAGGCAAGGGGACATCACTGTTAGAATGTGCAGAAGAGGTACCGTATTACACAATGCAATTTCAAATATGGGATTTACTAATACATACTCATTAATTGCAACAAAACATATAAGAATCACTAAAACAACAACATAATAATATGTTAATAACAATAATATAATAATATCTTTTTTTCCACCTGAAGCAATCCAAGTGGTCATAACCTACATGTATGAGTTGGGAACAAGCAATCAAAGGGGGCCCACAAGCCCTTTTCCGTAGAGCGTAATCGGCCGTTTTAATTCTTGCAGGCCCTCATCAAAGCTACATTGTATATAAGTGATATTTGTGGTCAGCTTTTTGTAAAATACACTTAAAACTCAAGAATATTGCATTTTGAAGAGCAATCACTCTACATCAAGTTACAAGTTGAAAATCACCTTCAAACTGACTTAGTGTGTTCAATCCTTGCCAACCCAGATTGAGAAACGTGGAGGAAAGTGCATCCCAGTGCAGTGTGACCACGAGAAGGATGATAACATCAAGGCTCTGTTCGATCAGATTCAGCGGGAACAGAACGGACAGTTGGACATACTGGTCAACAACGCCTATAAGGCTGTTACAGTGAGACATTCAAGATCTTTGTTATGAAAAGTTTTTCAAAGCTTGACTGTTACTATTACAAAGACAATATAGCTTCTGTACATAGCTTCAGGTTATTTACATGTACATGTAGTTGTTAGAATAAAGATTTAAGAGTACTGCAGTCCTAAATTGTGTTGTAACACATTTATCAAGAAGGTAGTTTTGACCTTTTTCTGTGTTTTTCATCACCAGGGCATCTTTGAGAATGAGAAGAACTCATTCTGGCAGCAAGATGCAGAATTCTGGGATGAAGTGAACAATGTTGGATTAAGGTAAACTTGTAACAGATATGACAGATAAGGTATAGTTTCTTCAACAGTACTCCCAAATTTTGACAGTTGTAGCCAATGAAAGACATTGCAACATTCAAACTAGTATGCAGCGGCTACATTTTCTGTTGAGTAATATTCAAGGTAATTTTGATAGAATTTCTCCTCAATTTCAGGAATCACTATGTCTGCTCGGTGTACGCAGCCCGGCTGATGGTGCCACAGAAGAAGGGTCTGATCGTAAACATTTCCAGTCCTGGAGGTCTGCGGTACCTCTTCAACGTGGCATATGGCATTGGCAAGGCAGCGGTAGGTTTTATTGTCTTTGTTGGAAACCTTTTTATCTTCTTTTTTCTTGGCACCCGGCCGTTATTGCCATAAGATCAACTTTAATAAATGATACTGTTTAATAAATGACTGGAATAAATGAATGAAGCTTTATTAACATGTGTTATGGTTTAACCCAGCTTTAATGTGGACTTACTGAGACAACAGAAGATACAAAATACATGGTACATAAATAAAGAAAACAGAGGTGCAGATTGATATGATAAACCAAAACTGAACAAAAATTATCAAAATGCAATGCAGGCGTACAGACTTGTCCTTGTTCAATTCACATTTTGTTGTGAAATATTTCTGTCATACATTCTAACCACCTGCAGTGTGACAGAATGGCGGCTGATTGTGCACATGAGCTGAGGAAACACAACGTTGCCTTCATCTCCTTATGGCCTGGTGCGGTGAAGACTGAGCTTGTTTCAGACCTCCTCGCTCAAAGGCCAGAAAGCAAGGTTTGCTGTAAAAATCCATATATTCAAGATGATATGTGCTACCGGAATGTGCTGTAAGGGATTTAAGTTTGGTGGATAGATGAATTAGCAGAGGCAAGGTTAAAAAACATTATTGAGGTTGTAATGTGTATTGTAACAGTTGAGATTTTGGCTCTCATTACAATTGTGGGGCATTGGGTCGATTACTAATTTTATGTGACATTTGATGCTCAATTTTTTTTCTTCAGAGTGCTAAAGTGTTTGCGAAGTCAGAGACAGTAGAGTTTGCAGGGAAGGCCATAGTTCATCTGGCACAAGGTGGGTGCGATGGCCAAAATATGAATGAGAAATAAGATGTAGAAAGTTTTTTGCATGTCTTGTCTGGTCAGTAGTCAACTATGTCTGTACAATCCAGATAATTGATACTAATTGCTGGTTTACAATGCAGGGCAAAAAAAAACTTAAGAACAAAAAGGAAAAAAAAACTTTACTTCTTTTTTTACTTTATTGACAATAGATGGCTGAACTTTTTTTTACTGTCTGGTGATGTTTACCTTTATTTTTGCTGTTACAACATTTAGATCCCAACATAATGCAGAAGTCTGGTAGAATCCTGTGCACATGTCTTTTGGCAGAGGAATATGGCTTTACAGACATTGATGGTAAGTACAACAAATTTCTCCATGATTGCAACGGATATTACATATATACTCTGAATAGGACCAGTCACACAAGCAATTTACCTGTGGTTTACACAAGTTAATTGATGTGTAACTGGCACATTCAGCACCATTGGCAGAATTGATGAGACCCATTCAGTACCAAGGACAGGGATAGTGAGACTTATTCAGTACCAAGGACAGGGATAGTGAGACTTATTCAGTACCAAGGACAGGGATAGTGAGGCCCATTCAGTACCAAGGACAGGGATAGTGAGGCTCATTCAGTACCATGGACAGGGGCATTTAGGCTCATTCAGCTCCAAGGACAGGAATAGCAAATTACATTTGATACCAAGGATGAAAAGCATGCTGACTGTCCTATGTACGTAATATTTCCTGTAATTCAATTAAAGACAGCATATTTTCATGAAAAAATTGTAACCTGTTTGCTCTGCAATTCCCATGATGCCCCAGGTTCAGTGCCTGTGAACTTCTGGACAGTGAAGGGCATGGTTGCTATGAGAGGTTACACAGGATTGGCTGCCTGGATTCCATCATTTCTCAAAATTCCTGGATGGCTTCTAGCTGCTGCTACCCACAAGTTCTAAGGACCACAATGATAGCATAATAGCACAATAAAAGGGTCTTGTAATGAATTCAGCCCAAGAAATACAGTTGATAACATTGAGGGACATGTAAGATTGATTACATATGAAATACAGTTTGCCAGTGGAAAAAATTGTATGATTTTTAGTCATCTAATTTTCACTACTCATCACAAAAAATGTCTTCAAAAGTTCTGGAAAATGTTGTGAATCATTGATAAGAAAAAACAGCATTCTGATGTCTGACGAGCATCAATAGTAATTTAATTTTTTATCATAGAATAATGAAAATATTGTTGAAGCATCTTATGTTATGCCATACGTTAGGACTATTAGAGTACACATTCAAGTAACATGACATCAAGACAGAAATGATGGTGATACGTTTAATCTTTCATGACATATAATTTGCTACTCTCTTTGTCACAATAAGGAATGGAATACAATACTAAAGAAAAGCTGGAAAACACTGTGAAGTCCCATTATCTGTAAGGACCATAACATATGTATACTCCTTGAAATTTCGTATCTCTACTTATACACTACCATATTTCTCAGTAATTGTCAGTAATTGATTTGTTTGGTGCTATTCATTGTCCTGACAAGCTTAGTATACACTTATGTGACATTCAACTTTTTCAATTGCAACTGTGGAGTCTTTCTATAAAAGTATTTTCAAGTGATCTTTGCTTGTAATGTGAAATTATTCTGACAGATGAAATAAAACAGAAAAAATACCAGCCCTCAGTGTTTTGGCTGTTAGTGTTGTAATATTGTCTTTACACACTTGCTTTACATATTAAATGTTGTAACTAATATGTCTAAATTTATTAAGATCCATACTGTACTGTGATCTAATGCTTGAATATGACTTGACGTTCTACTTTACTAGGAATTTACAGCTCAGGTCTGTATAAACAGCCTTGTTGCTAAACGATGATGTCTGCATCTTTAGGAGTAAAGGTTAAAAGTTGCAGGGGGACATTACTGAGGCTGTCTGAGCACACTGCGGGTAGGTCATCTTTGCCGACCTCGGCACACAGCAGGTTAAACTTGCCGGCGATGTCTTGGATACTCTGGGCTATCTGAGCTGACCTGACATGGTGACACATCACAAACATGGCGTCCGCCTGGTCGGTAGCCAAGAAAGTTAAAAGTTAGGGATGAAATAGAAACGTAAGCTGTCCAAAAATGGCAAAAATTCTGCACAAGAAACATTGTAAACACTAAAATGTTAATAGAATGAAAAAGAAAGGCAAAATTTACCTACATTATGACCAAGAGAATCGGTATCACGAAATGTCAAAACACGTTAAAAAAGCTCAATGTTGCAAAACAAGATCAATTTTCTGTTGCTTCCATCTAAAAGTTGGGGCCTCCTTAAAATGTAATCCATTCACATGTTAAGGAGGCCCATGTTTTATGTTGAATATAATAGTAAGGTTTTACTGTACCTTTTTTGACATCAGCATGCTGACTGTCTGGAACAGCGGCTCTGCCATACCTTCCTGCTCTATCCAGTAGATGATGTCAGCCCCCAGGATGAGGTCAAAGGTCCCATAGGTCATCCTAAACTCCTCAAGGTCAACCCCCCAGTCCAGAAGGGCAGATTTAGGACCATCTGGTGGTTGGACTTAAAGATATTAGTCAAGGATTAAGCTATGATCAAATTATGTTGGGATGACCCCTTGTAAAAACGAAAGAAAAAGAAACAGAGAAAACTGCAACTTGACCAAGCAACCCATCAAAAACTTTCAAGAAAATCTTTCAACCGTAAAAACATCTTCTAGGAAAGGATGTAGAGGTAAGATGCTGATGATAGCTGGGAGGAACATCCAGATAATAAAAAAAAATCATCGAGAGCTCCAGAACTTACTCAGTAACTTAGTTAGGAGAGTTCCAGTACCTTATGCCTTGTTGTAACTTGTGTTGAAAACGTCTCCGAGATGATGATTAAAAATCATTGGCTGAGGCCTGGACCTGTCAGTTACAATTGTGGTTACCAGAGTTGGGATGTGTACATTGTGTTAAAGAGTCCAGGAGACTATAGGATTTCCAGAAAGTGTGTTAATGTACAGACAGATACAGACAGTGGTTCACTGATTGACAGGTGTCATTTACACTTCAAGAGAGCAGACTGATGGAACACATGAGGTTGAGTAGCTATATGTACAAGTACATTTGTACATACATATGCAAGATGGGGGTGATCTAAGGAATATTAGTAAAACCTCTAATGGAAATGGTACACTCTAAATATTCATGGGGAACACATACATGTAGCTGAGGAGAAAATTGAGAGAAGGGTAAGTCTCAATCATACATGTCATGTTAATTTTTGTCAACTCTGTGTTATGTGCTGTTATTACCATTTAATCATTTAGTAGTAATACTTATCATTAGTTTTCCATAGTTGCAAACAATGAAATTCAAAGAAGAAGAAATTTACAGCTCTGGCAAATCTTGCAGAACCTGTAAAAAAGTCATGTTATAGTCGATATCTGTAAGGCATTTGTATGAATTCTTTTTCAGCTACTGTCCTAACAATGCTAACATGAGAATGGAAAGATTTCTACACTCATAATATAGCCAAGTAGATTCACTGACTTTTTATATTGATACCAAAGAAATTAACAGATTTAGTTGAAGACAGTGTGTTACTGTGTGAAGTGTTTGTGACTTTTAAGCCAGCTTAATTAGCGTGATTAGCTGTTGTGTTACGCCGAAGGGCGGTTATACCGGCTATACTGATACAGATACAGATAATCATGTCAGTTTGCTTTGTGTTCTCAAAGTGGATTGTTATCGTATACATGTACATGTATATCAATAATGTAACATTTAGTACTGGTACATGTAAAAGACCCACCAGTATCCCCAGTGAAGTTAGCCTCAGTGTTCTTCTGCAGTAGTTCCAGAACCACCTCGGTGTGGTCAGTCAGCACCACTGCCGAGGGGTCCTTGGTCAGCTTGGCGGCCACCAGGCCGGGCAGTCCGACCCCTGCCCCCAGCTCCAGAACTGACCTGGACTGGACCAGGTGAGAATGGTGCAGCAGGTAGTGAGACAGCACCTGCAAGAACAGTTGTACAGGGTTCAAAGTTATACAAGGTACCTATTGTATATAACAAACATACTACTAAACTATCTAAATTACAAAGACTATGTAGTATGAGATGAGAATGTGCTTTTACAGTAAATGGCCGAATTTCTAGCACTTAGGCATTTTTGGAGATACTGTTCTACATGTACAATGCATGTGTCACAAATGTGTAATAGGTAGCATCTGTAGCATTATCTTTAACATTCCCTTAGATTGGCCTTTATAACCAGGCAACATATGAGATTATAATTACAAGAAAATTTTGCATAAAGGAAAACTTAGTGATTTAAGGTGCTTCATCATCTTACAAAAACATTCTTTTGCCCATGTAGCAAAAATAAACACAATACCTAAGCCATTCAGTACCAAGGACAGTGTCCAGGTTTGAAAAATAGGGGAATTCTGGAGGAGTGGGGCAGATAGAAATACAATGAAACTTACCACAGCTGCTGGCCACACAACCTGACCAGTCTCTGCATAAGTGGCTGAAGAACACAACAGAAAACCATGGAAAATATTGATAGATGTACTGAGAAGTGATTTTTACCATTTCCTTACCTTTTTAGGCTCGCTATGCCTTCATGTAAAAATGGATTTAAGGTGTCATACTATCAAAATGCAGTTGCGTATAATGTTTTTCTCCAGTCATAGAAGTTCTGACCAAAGTGTAGTCAATGACATTTAAAACAGAGGCAAACGTTTCATAAATCAGACAAAAATTCACCTACTAGTAGTAGTAGTAGTAGCAAACAATACCTCTGCACACAATGTACATGTATGTGTACATGATTTTTCCTGTATCAAAGTTAACTTTACAGACATATGATGATTAGGAGGGTTGGAGAGTAACTCTAGGTAAAGTCACCTGCTTCGCTGCCATGGCGACCGTGCACCTACACCTGTACATGTCCAATGTTGATGTCCTCCCAGGTGTAACTACAGAAGGATTCAACAACACTTACTCCATTGATTTTGCCTAAAATTCACCCTCTCACAATCAATATTTTACACCTGCCCAAATAAATAGCTTTTTCTTATCAACTAACATATATGATCTTCATTCAAGGGAAATTGATATAAGTGCTTCAGGTTTTTCTAAAAACAACAAAGAAGAGAGAAACCAAGGAGCTTTTTTTTAGTTCACTATCATGAATTTACTGAAGTTGGTGATCAAATATATGAAGTAAATCTTGTACATATTCTTGTGAAACAAGACCTTATATCACATTTATCATATTGGTGGGCCAATGTTAGTTGTGAGTACACCGTGACTGAATTCTATCATAACTTACTTCATATGATCATCCATAAAGAGTCCTGGGTAGAAGTATGTTTCCAACTGGTTCGTATGTTTAACTTTTCTAAAGTTTTCTGTTTCTGGAGCTGGGTTGTCCATTTTTCCTAGAAAGGAGTAAATAAAAATTGTCATGTAACCTCAAGAAAAAAGGCTTCAACCTTAATATGGTTAATGGATTCCAACAGAGTGTTACTTAAACAAATGGAAGTGAAGAAACACTATGCCCTAAAACACCTGGTATACCTATGAGAGAGTTGGGGAGTTAATATGTATTGTGATAGGCAGAATGACATGGCAGGGTTGAAAATCTTGATGAACAGTTTGGTGTGGCTGCCATTTGTCCTAGACAAATTGCCTAATGGAATTTCTGACCTGTTGTGAGGTTACAGGTGTGCATGTGTTCCTTAATGTTTCAGGTGCCACAAATATATGTGGAGTTGGCCAGAGATGTTGCCTACTACTCACTGTCAACATTTAAGGCAGGAAAGTCATATTCTGCTTGGATGCCATCAGACAAGAGAACTGGAGCAAGAATATGGTGGATTCCAGGCTACTGACCCAACCTAGCACAAACATTTACTTGGGAACATTTGAGAGCAAAGCTGTGGGAAAGTCCTGAATGTGTGACAGGTGCTTAAAAGGTTTATTAAAACATGACTTACCTGCGCGGTCATGCTTTCCTTGGAGCCTTTCTTCTCCTTGAAAATCTGTATCTGGAGGTGTAAATGCTGTGAAGTATGATAAGTCTGGGGATAGCAGGTCGACTTCTATTGGCAAATAGGAAGAAGTTTTTGATGTACCAAATGTGGAGTGATGACCAGGTGCTGCAGTACAGCACCAATGGCACAGACCTGTGTCAGGAGATAAAAAAATGTATGTTTAATATGGTTTCATCATATATAATAAAACATGATATATCCTTAATAATTTCATACCTGAGACATACTAACACAGCTATTAATTAACGTTATCCGTCTTCAATATCACCATTATAACATTAGGTGTAAAAGTACATTAACATGACATTATGTATTTAATATTTTTTACTTCAAAAATTCTTTAACACACATAAAACATGAGATTTACGTTTGTTGAGAGCTTACTAGTAAGGGCCTGACCGAAAATGCTGTCGAATACTAGTAGTTCTATTGACTCTCAGAGCAGCAGAGGACAAATTGTTCTTGGCATGCATTGGCAGCTTGCCGGACTTCTTTCCAATTAATATGAGACTCAACTGCTCTGAATCTTAATTGTTGTCGTATATGATATATGTCAGAAAATGAGGTGGTAACATATTCTCCAGATTTATCGTGTATGCCTGGAATATATTAAAAAAACAGGCACTGACTGGTGATAAAAATCTTGCCCCTCCCCCGTGAATAAACAGTGATTTGCAGCTTCCATAAGGCCAATAAGTAATACACTAATTGAATGCACGTTGATTTTAAGGGACATTTCATGACACACTGTTGTGTTTCAGGGCCATAAGCTATAATCCAACACTTAAAGTCTACTCACGTAACTCGTAGCGTAGTGTTTTTGTCGTCAACTGCGCTTGAGGACAAAGGTAAGAGCTCTCCACACCGCGAACTCGTACCACCCTGGTTGGTTTGTTTACTCAGATCTATCTGGATTTAACTAGTTGAAGATGTCAGCCGTGTCACAGCGCTACCTATCAGTTACGGTGCAAACTTCACCGGCACTTTCATGGAATTTTAATGTCAGGTCAAAGTCCCATACGCAGTAATGTATGACACCATTCATAGCATTCGGGACAGTGTAACGTTAGAGACTTGTACAGTATTTCCTTTCGATGGCATGACAATTGACCCTGACGTTATGTTGATGTGTGTAGAGCTTGACAGGGTGATATAGAGTTGAAAGTTCAGAGTTCAGCTGTTGTTTACATCAACCAGTTGGACAGGATCCTTTCTGAAGGTTTGACGTAAGGTTTTGTCTTGCTACATGTGAAATGCACGTTGCGGAACGCATAAGCCCATGTATTCAGGAGTGCGTAGACAAGCTTTCTGTTGCAGTGAACGGTTTTTTGTCTTAAGGGCCCGAACACCACTTAAATTTGTAACCAGTCTGGCCCTCTTGGTCGCGACCCTAAAGGCAATATTTTCCAACAGTTTGGACGCCACCTCAGTGACCTAGCCAGGCCTACACGTTCACAAACACTCCAAAGGAAAGTTATCTTCTGTTCCGACCAAGATGAGAATCGTCTCAGCGCTGGTGAATGTGCCATGGTTGGCGGAAAGACTGTCCAGTCCGGCCCTGTCGCCCCTCCCCCTCCGGGTACTGGACTGTTCTTACTACCTGCCGATACACAAGCGCGACCAGCGGGCGGAGTACAGACAGAAACACATCCCAGGAGCACTCTTCTTTGACATACAGGTAGGCAAAACGGTTCAACATTGTCTGGGGGAAATTTTTGACCTTAATTGTTATCCCCGGGCCCCTTCTAAAATAATGAAAATTGATAATAACTCTTATGAGTTACTAACCAACGTACCAACAAACCAACCAAGAAATAAAGAAATGCATAAACTAAAACAACAACAACAACAACAACTAACAGACCTACTGACTAACAAAGTATTGCTGGAAGTAATAGTATATTATGTGCTGTCCTAGACTGGGTATTATGACAACATGTAACATATTATACATGTAACATCATCTAACGTTACCATCCCGCCACCCATATTTCATGGTCTGCCCCCGTCTTATTCTTATGGTTTGCTGCTATTCAACTCATCCACGTGACTTGAATGGCAGCTGGCTTCAAGGTCGTAACTGACTATATATGACACGTATCTGAACAACCGGTTTCTCTTGCTCAATCGGCCACAGCGTGGACGCTGTCACGTATACGTAGTCATGATTGAGCACAATCATATAGAGATAAATTAAGCCATAATCCTCAGAGCTCGTACGTCTTTTGTGAGTAAGGATATAACGTTGTTATTAGCGCTTAGCTTGAGTTTTGATCCTTGGAAGATGAGGGTCGTATCTACTCTGGTGAATGTTCCGTGGTTAGCTGAGCGACTTGCGAGTCCGCCGCTTCACCTCAGGGTACTACAGTGTATCCGCAACCGCAACCAAGAATCCGAGCACATTCCTGGAGCGCTATTCTTTAACTTACAGGTAGGGAGAGAGCGCCTTGAAGCTTAAAAGGACGAAATAGATCTGTAAATGTCACTAAAACGTAAGCGTCACCGTCTGTCCTCCGGTTAGTTTTGACCCATATAGCGGGTTACTAGGTCGACCTTCCGGCCTTTTGGTCTGACCTTGGTTTGGTGTGTACTTTCTGGTCGGGGGTTTGATCATATGAGTATTGGTTGGGGATGTTTTAAAAAGTAAGTTTAACCAAGAAGTTCTTGCCTCCTTTTTGAACCTCCTTGGTTTAACCGTGTATTATCCGTGATGTACAGTACTTTGAAACCTTTCTAGTTCTGGAAATGTAACATAATTTGCCGCGGTCGGATCACGTATACTTTCTCGAGTCGGTAGCTATAATACAAAGTTACTAAGTTTGAATATCGTCTAAATTTATCCATCCCTGTCTTTATATAGCTACCGAGTCTCTTTCATTTTCTTCTCTCTCCCTGTTTACGGGACTTGAGGACGAAAATCGGCAGCAAAAATAAGATGGATACCAGGCTAGTCTCCCCCCCCCCCCAACACCAAGGCCGCGAAAGTATACCATACCTTTAACTTTTGCCTTTTTCAGGAATGTTCCGACAAGTCCAGCCCGTACAGAAACATGCTGCCCCCGACACAGCAGTTCGAGTCGTACGTGGGAGACCTAGGTGTGGATAACGGCACGCACGTGGTGGTGTATGACGGCATGGACAGGGGGCTGTTCTCCGCCGCGAGGGTCTGGTGGATGTTCCGGGTCTTCGGACATCCCCTGGTCTCTGTTCTAAACGGAGGACTGGTCAAGTGGTGCGAGCTGGGCCACCCAGTCACTGACGAGATCCCACAGGTATTATAGAGGGAGTAGAAGACGCTGAGTGAGAAATTTCAAGTAACGTAGAAGTTGCGATAATGAAAGATTAATCACTGTAAATGTCGTATCTTTTGGTGATGGGGACTTAAAGTGAATCCAAATAATGGTAAAAAAATTCTGCTAACCAAACTATCGCATACTTGTTCTGTTCCCGACGTTACGTCCCCATAGTAAGGTCACTAGTATTTTTTGCGGAAGTCCGGCCGAAGATCATTTGAAACTTAGTGAGCTGTCGTTTAAGACAGGACGTGACATGATGAAAGTTGTTGTTGGTACTCGGTTTCGTTTTTATGTAGTTGTTGCAATTACACTTGTGACGTTCATTACACAGGTTGAAAAAGCCAACTTCAGTGCCACGTACAACCCGTCTTTGGTCCGAGACTTTGGCTTCATGGAGAAGAACTTCACACAGAAGTCTGTTCAGATGGTAGATTCTCGGTCAGCTAATGTTTTTAACGGAGAGGCAGACCCTGCATCAAAGCCAGGTGAGCATTTGTCAGCCTATGATTCATATTATATATTAAGTTTTAAAGTCAACACGAAGTTCTTTGGGTAGAGGAATGATGTGAATCCGATTTTATTTTTCAGATGTAGGCCACATGCCAGGTGCCGTCAACGTTCCTCTAGGAAGAGTCGTAGACTACGAGACTAAGATTATAAAATCCCCCGAGAAGTTACAGGAGATGTTCTCGGCATCAGGTGTGGACCTGGCCCGCCCGATGGTGGCGACGTGCGGCTCGGGCGTCACGGCCTGCGGGCTCGCCCTGGCCGCGCATCTCTGCGGGAAGGAGGACGTCCCCGTGTACGACGGCTCCTGGAGCGAGTGGTCCAAGCGGGCTCCGCCGGAAAACATCATCTGTGGGACGCACGAAAAACAGGGATAGTCGTCATGGCTGTTTTACATATTCGATTCTTTGTCAGAACAGGGCTATGCTGGAAGCTCTTGCCACTCAAATAATAACTTATACCGAGTAGTTTCAGTGGCTTCGCTAACCAGTCTTCTGTGCAGTACTGACTGTGGATGAAGCTCAAAAAACCTCATATTTTTTCCGTGTTCTATTGAATAAGAAGAAATAAAAAACCTGCTGGCTGTTATAAACGTTGTTTTGTTTTATTCTTGTTACAACATTTGTGTGTGATCTCTTCATTCTCGGCGCCTGCATCTTGCCTTTTCCGCCTATCTGTTGTATATCCTCCATAAGATTTAATTGGTGTGGCATGATTGAAACATGATGAATATTAGTATGGAAGTTGTGGAAATTTGGGCAATATTTGGCAAGGACTAGTATTGGGTGGGGATAGGGAATTCGCAACTATGACATATGTACAAAGTATGGATAGAAGGAAGAGCCATACCTCTTGTGGCGGTCATTGAACTGTCTTCTCCAGGTTCAACATTTTGACACAGACGTATTGAAGATTGACAGTACACAGATGACAGCCAATATTCAAGATTTTCAAAATCCTCATACCAAGCATGTACAAATGTAGGTATGCACGATGTAAGCCAAAAATATACCGTCCGCAATGACTGCATCTTACACCGCTGGCAGTGTATTGTATATTGGAATCGCTTTTTGTAGTGTATGAAGCTATAACAATGTACTTGATTTTATAGGCTGATGACCAGCATGCTTAGCCCCCGCTTGAAATGCCGAGAAGCTACGCATAATGACTACGACGCCGTCATAAAAATGGCTTCCGTAGACACATTCCGGGACGGTTTCGACTACCTGCCCGCCAAATTTCACCAATATGTGGACGATCAGGACGTCTATGTTTTTGTAGCAGAATCTGATGGCAAAGTGGTATCTAATTGTTACTGTCTTTGTTTTATGAAACTTGACCGTGGTATAAGAGTGGTCACTAATGCATGACTAGCTTTTTCCTCTCTTAGAGGGACATTTCATGTAATGCTGTAGGGTAACAATGGATTTTGTGTAGTGTGTAGTAATTATTAAATTCGAGTACATCACTGAATAACTGCCAATCAAATATACCCGGTCCAGCAGTATCATGATCAGGAAATGATACTCGACTACGTTGCCGTTACAGCTCGCTGTGTATGTGTCCCTGACGACAGATGACGGCGCGTATCTACTGAACCACACCCTCCGCATAGCCCCGGAGCTACAGGGAAAGAAGCTGGTGAAGACCTTTCTGCGCGCTCTCGATCAGGCACTGCTGCGTCACTATCCGCAGCTGAAGCGGTGCGAGCGACATGGCCTGTCCGACACCAGGCGGCCCTACATGTGGAGCTACATCCCGAAGACGGATATCTGTTTCATAGCAAGTATTCTCTTACTCATTCTTCAATTGGTGTTTTTTTTAATTTCATTGTCATTGTCATTGTATGTATGTAGCTGACCTATTTGCAAATGTATTTCTTTTCTCAATTACTTCACACACACACACACACACACACACACACACACACACACACACACACACACACACACACACACACACACACACACACACTCTCTCTCTCTCTCTCTCTCTCTCTCTCTCACACACACACACACACACACACACACGCACACACACAAACGCATACATGCGCATGTACACAGGCGCGCGCGCACGCACACACACGGACGCGCGCATATACTAGTATGCACACACAAGGAAAGCTTAGCTTTGAACAAGAAAGATACGATGTAGTATTTTTCAACAAATCCGCAACCGTCACCTTTTGTTCAAATTTCAGGATATCATGTACTTCCAAGGCACGTCTAACGCCGTCCTGGATCATCTAAAAACCAGCAAAGTCCTCCCATCTTCTCCCCTCCCCACAGTAGTGCCCTATCAACCTACCGACCTAAAACGGCTGTCAGGCCCAGGGTTCTCTGACCAGTTTCTCAACGACAAGATAATCTGGATTCCGTACAAACTCAGTGCCCGGAACTTACGGAGGTTTTCAGATCGGGTCGTCCGTATTCTCGTCGACACTTGTCAACCCACAGCTAAGAGTTTGAGTTTTGGTGGAGGCTACATGACACCGAGGGGGAGATTATATCACGTAGATGTGCACTGTAAAGATGTATCTCTGTGTCAGGCTCATATCAAGAACCATGTTGATAGAGCTTGTCTTGAGTACGAAGGGGTGATCACATTCTGTGTCATGTTGATCGACCAGTCCCTGAAAATAACCAGCAAAACTTTCTGCATGGAAGCATGGAAGAGTTGGCGTTGGTTCATCTTCCTGATAACGATCATAGATATTTGGCTTACAAATTTCCGGAATTCTCCTTCTAGCTCTGATTGGCGGATCCTTTCCGAAAATTCTCCTTCTAGCTTCTTGTTAGATGGGGGAGCGCTATAGAGTGTACCATAGTCAACCACACCATGCACACTGCTTCAAACTATATCATGTCTCCGTTTATGTTCAGTTCGATGTTAACGAGTATGGATGTTAAGAATAAACTCCTCGATGACGTAAGAGATGACATTAGAGGACGTCTCAAAATCACAGTATCATAGTATATAGCCTGATTAAATCGTTTTAAGGCTAGTTCGCGTCACAGACTAGGCTTTAAATACCAATACGAAGGCATGCACGAAGGCATGTACGAAGTGAATATCCATGGTTTGGAGATGGCGGTCAACTGACCTTTGATTTTTCTCAGAGGATATAGTCCATAGGATTTACTACTAGTACTAGTGTAGTTTACGTGTTATAACATTTATATCTACTTATCCCCCATCAGTTTGAGGCATCCCCCAGTTTTGGTATGACGATGATTTCCGAGCTGTTGTTGAACAGAATCTTCCCGTCCTGTTCCACCGAGCAGTCCGGTCCGCGGATGTAGTCGGTGATCTCCCGCTGGTCCTCCGGGTCCACGGTGTCGGTGAAGTGCGGCGTGTGCGTCAGGAAGTCCAGCAGGAGGATCCCGGTCTCGGAGCCGGGCACGAAACACTCCGTGATGTCGGTGTTGACGTTCAGACGGTCCGTCGTGTACTGGAGCTGCAGTTTATCAAGGACCTCCTGCGGGAATATAAGGTATTGCAGCTAAAATTGCAGGAGGAAGTAAGGAACGGGACGTTTGTGACAAGGACATCAATCACCAAAGAACTTACATCCCTCTAGCGCTATGGTAATTTTTGTCATCGGAGGTCATTCTATAGTTTTGCTTCCTGCCTGAAGTTAGTTATTGCCGTACCGGGCCAGCATTCATATGATGTATGTGTTAAAGAATTTCGTATATAATGTATGATCATATATAACCATTCGAAGAAACTATAGACAGAGAACTTTATCTGTCCACTGACAAAGATCGCTGGACAGCGGTCAAAAACGTCTGAAACTGTATTATTTCCTGTTGTATTGAATAAACCAAGATATATTGAATATAGACGTGGATAGTGTTCTATCACCTTGATATGTGCAGTAGTTCTGTACGGTGTCTGTTCGTCTCCATCTGGCAAAAACTTGTTCATCTTCTTCATCAAGTTACTACAGCCGGTCTGATCTGTGGACAGCAGTGAGAACCCTTGATAATTTATTATTTTATTTAATCATATATTAATATATAGATTAGGATAAATTTGGTAAGGAACTTGACATTTTATCACAGCTCTCATAATAGACATCGTGGTGTGTGCAAACAACATAGTCTAAAGAGACCACAGTCCTTAAGATGCCTTGTGGACATCGCCAAGTTCGGACGAGGGAAAGACGCTTACCGTACATTTGGGATCTCACCAGGGATCTCACCTGATAGGTGAATGATGACAAGGAGCCCGCCTTCCGCCACCTGGCGGTACATGTGCTTAATGCAGCCGGCCAAGTCGTCCACGTAGTACAGCAACTGTGTCAACAATGTCGGTCCATCGTTTGAATCAACATCACCGCTGGTTTGATTGTGTAAGGAGTTAACATACGTGTGCAACTACACACTACTGATGTGCAAAGCAAGCACAAGGCTGATTGAAAGAAAGGTTCTAAACGTGATCAGGCCGACAAATACACGATGGGACATTAGCAATGCACATGCATACATAGAGTCTGTAAACATTCGCGTATCAGAGGTGCCTACGTGCACTGAAGTAGTATTGGAGCACCTCACCTGTATAGCGTGAACAATGTGGAACTTGGTGTCGTCATTAAACGTTTGCTCGAAGTATTCCTCGTCAGTCTGCTGGTGCCACTCGAAGGCAACCGTTTTTAATTGCTCGTCGTCTTCTAATAGATGCTTTTTGTAGGGTAAGAAAACAACATGTATTATAAACCATGATACATTATTTAAAGATATTTGATGTTATGTACAAGATAGACATTACAATGCAAACTTACACACATGCGCGCGCGCTCGCACGCACGCACGCACGCACACACACACACACACACACACACACACACACACACACACACACACACACACACACACACACACACACACACACACACACACACATTCTCATTAAAGTCGAGTCAACAGATATGGTAATGATAATATTTACAAAAGGGTTGTAACATTACTTTGAACTGGTCGATGTCTTCTTCTCTGGGCTCCACGACTCGGCAGAACACCTGGTCATACTTGTCCAATACGGCATGAAGAATAATGGCGTCAAAATGGCCTGGTCGGAATACAACAGAACAGGTCAGAGACTGTAGGTATTGAAAATGTATTAGCATATGCCAGTACAAAATCATGAAACAAACCCCAGTCAAGTCTTTCTCAAAACAGTATGATAACAGGTTTATATTTCGTATAATGTATATGAGGGATGTATATACATGTATCGCTTGTCTCGTCCATTCAGGGAGATTTATCCCTGATGTAAGGTTTGCTTTTTGGTGTAACGAATAAATAGATAAATATTCTCCGTACCTGCTCCGCTCCCCATCCCGAGAACGTTGAAGGCAGTTTTGGCGGGAACTTTACACCTGGCCACCAGGCCCGGCCCCTCGTCCTGCAGCCAGCGTTTGGTCATCTCCTCCTCACTCTCACACTTCTCCAGGAACACCTGGTACGCCTCGAGGTACCGCTCAGCGTCGTTATGGAGACCCCCGATGTTCGGCTGTGACGCCTGTTTGAGTTTGAAAGGCGACAAAGTACGTAAAGGAAGAATTTCGAGGCAAAATGCATTGTAAAACGTTTTCTATTTCCTTCGTGAAGCGGCTGCAGCTGGAAAGAGTAGGAATTGGCCAAATGGACAGTGTGCCAGACGAGTCGCCAAGAGAACAGTTTGGAGTTCCCGAAGACTGTTTTAATGCTAATAGCGCGGGCGAACTCGCCTAGAATATCATCAGTCCAGTCTACTAGTATTTGGCCAATTTCCAGCCGATTCCTGAATCCTAGTAGTGGTTAATATATATTTAAGGTGCATGAAAGCAAAAAAGTTTGTATCACTGAATGGTTTTTAACATTACACTTACAGTTTACTCGCTCATTATTGAATACTGTATTTTGCTGTATTTCGCCATTTCTGAGGTATTTCGATATTTAGTGGAACCCGATAACTTCTATATCTTGCCCTTGGCACATTCAGCTAAAGAATGAATGCTTCACTTGTCACGGTTCGTGCTGACTTGATTAGTTAATGGTGAAAGGATTGACAAGTACAAAGGCGCTAGTGGGACGACAGCAAACAACTCTAACCCAAGTTGTCGGGCCGAAGTATGGCTGGGGTCAACAAGTCAGACTATTAGATATAAAAGGTATAAAGGCTCCCTTAGTTACACGTACATTATAACATAAATTTTCCTTTGGCAGAGTTTAACTTGGAGCAAGAGATCTAGTTATCCAACTTAAGCCTCATGGGAATTCAAATCACGGAAAACAGGAGGAAATGGTTTAAAATTATGCTCGAGAAGCATTCATGTAAAATTTCAGGATTATTGATTCTAGCACTCAGTATGAGAAATAAAATTGCCAGCTGTGACGCCCACGTAAACTGTTCTTTACGTGCTACATTGTAACAAGGGTGTTTTATTGATTGTAATGGTCTGTCACGAGAGGTGGTACTCTGGTACTTGCAGTTATCTTCAACAAGCGAGGCATGTTTACATTCCGTTCTATTTATTACTACGAACGTATTTTACGATGGTCGATAAAGCACGACCTGCGCCAGCTCCACAGGTAACATGTGTAAACAGTCGAATACAGCCGAGTTTTCAAAGACTGTGTGAACGTTTTAAACATGGAACAGAATTCTGTCCTCCGTTTCACTGATATGAGACGGAAAACATAAATAATCCTGCTTCACTGAACCGCAAAAATCTCAGCAACAAGCAACCCGATAAAAATTCACCAACCTGTTGTTCCTCTATTTCGTCTTCCTCCATGTTTCGGTAACTTGTTGACGGAAGTTTTTGTTTGTGTGCGCTGGTACGTTACTGAATATTGGCCTGAACTGGGACAGCAAACTGCGCAGTGTTTTGGTGGACGTCTAGTCTGCCACTGAGTCTAGTCGACCTTTGGACCGATCACCACCAAGTAGCATGTTTGCTTCCGTTGTTTGAGCTTCAATCACAATGTGATTTTTTCATGGTCGCCAAGCTGCGTTGAGCTGTTGCAAATGACTTGGGCAGGTTGGATATCAATATGCTGGACAATTTTGTTTTAGTCTAGTAAGATTATCTTTAAGGTACGATGTCATGGCACTCTCTAATATTGAACTTGGCAGAAGTGTAGACCATTTACTAGTATCTACCTTAGCGTACCTGGTATGCAAATTTAATGCTTTAACTGCCTGATCTGAGGTACGGTAATGTATTCAGCCAATGTTTGAACTATTTTTTCTGGCAGCAAACACTGAAAGGCTTTCATATCAGTAACTGCAAAAGTCTATAGGAGTAAAGCACACAAAGTAGCACTGATTCTGCGCGTAAAATTATGACTACATTAACAGGAAACGCAAAGTAAACTCACAATGCAGTCCTTAGCCAATTACTCACAGTTCGTGCATTTCTGGGTAGTTTGGTGGTCCTGTTGTGTTCCGGTGTAATTACACTCAAGTTTATACAAGTGTGTCTTACTAACAGACAACAAATCATTTTGATGTTTAAACAATCTTAGAATGTTAGGATTTGCAACATTGCTGAAGTTTCCCATTGTATCTGACCTACCTATATACATGTTCTGAGTATTATATAAATCTTTTACCTATCAAATGTCATGGTTGAATAAAAGGATGGAGACAATAATGGAGAACTACAAACGGCCACACTTCCTGTAATTTATTTTACTGTATCCCTATACAGTAGGTTGAGATTGATCATCGTAAACACAACCGTCTTATAATTATTAGTATCTCATTTGTTACATTGCCCCTTGAGCAAAAATCTTATTTCTGAAACAAACAAGATCTGAAATTCTTGTCCTGCACCTAACAACTGTGTACTGGTCCACTAAATACAACTATTTATCACACATCACACTAAAACCAATAGGCAACAAGGATAACAGAAAACATTACTGTTAGGAAATAAGTTAGAAACATGTTCACTACGCATAGCAGCCGCAAAGCCTATGTTAGTAGAATTATACATATGAAGCAACATAAAGTTAAAAAGACCATGCCAACTTGCAACAAGAGTATTACTTCTGACTCTACAAGCAGTATATAGGATAACCTGGTGGTATGCAGAGGTTTAGTGTCAGAGTCACAATCATATGGTCACCTGAACTTGCTACAAACATCTAGATATCATTCAATGCTTAGTTTTCATCAGTAAAATGACCATTGGCCAGAAAAGCTTTGATCTGGGTCCCATTCAAATAGGCTATAAGAGAATATACCACTCCCAAACAAAATCAGTAATTAAAATTTCTGCATGTGCATAGTGTTGGGGTTTTAATGCAAATCAACTGAAAAGACATTTAGTCGAAGGGCCAATCATGTACTCATGTACATGTATATCAGCCCATCTGGCAGTTAATCTACCACGATGAATGTTGTATTTGGACCAAGGCCAAAAGGACAGTCACCATCAACATTTGACCTTAACATTGCATACTGGTAATGTTAAAACTCCTGGTGAGTTCAGCACTTCTCCAAGCCCTTAGCAACTATCTGTTAAGCACCATACTAGCTAAGCATATAGCATGACAGCCTTGAAGTCTGGTAGGTGCAGAACACATCGTGCTTTAGAGAAGCTGTGACTGACAAAATGTCTAATTTGGTCACTAGTAGACTGACTTGTGCACTAATTATTTACAGTACATGTACTGACAGACCTCTGTTAATGTACATGATTTAAGTGTATGTCATTTACACTACAAAGTCAGTTCATATTAAGTCATCTCACTGTACATGACTCTATAGTCTATACTTTTAATTATTTCAATATGACCATGATTTGAGGTAATTTTCTATCACCATTTTCATTCAACACATTTAAAAATAGCATTGACACACATATTAGCCATGCAGAAGTATGACATTTAACACACTTAATGCCTTCTGGGCTATTCTATTCTAAAACCCTGGGGAAGATAATTTTTCAAAATGAAATGCAAGATGTTCCTGCCCACCCCTTCTGAGATTTTAAGATTGAATAGCCCATGACAAATGTTGGAACACAAAATTTGGTAATATATATTTAATAAAGTCAATGTCAATAAGCAATTTCATGAGGATTGACTAAAATATCTTGGAAAAGTGGTACTTTAGGCAAGGAAATTTGACTTGAACTACAGTCACTGTGATGATCACATTGTACGTAATGTCAAAATTCTGAACATTAAAATATTTCAAAATATATATCACCTCTGCAGCAGAGCTCATACTTTATTGTATCATATTGACATCATGGCAGGATAAAATTAATGTGATCAATAGCTATCCTTTTTCCTATCCACATTGGAAATGCACATTTAGTACATCCATGCAAAGCAGCATATTGCTTATGATTTGGTACTGGCCATGTTAACACAGCAGAACACAAATTTCAACTCAAACTTTTCACTGCAATACAAATGAACAAGCCTTTCATTATGTGTGGCTTTTTTTTTCAAATTGCTTCAATAGCAACTAATGAATCCTGAAAGTGTGACACGGTGTTGGTCTTCAGAATGCCCCATTGGCACTGCTGCCCACCATGTAGTGTTGGGAACAGAATTCTTGGATTCGCTCGCAAGCTTCGCTGACCATCTCCGCTGGTAGGGTCAGGACTACACGGAAGAAGTTGGGGTACTGGAAACACTGTAGGGCAGGAGGAAGACTTTGTTTTACTCACTTTGTCAAGTAGAAAATCCTTAATTCCAGGCTAGAATATGTTGACTACAAAGAACTTCAACAAGACATGATGACTTTTCTCCTAAAGAGGCTCAACTGGTTTTTGAAGAAAAACATCGCCAGCTCTACACATAAAAATAGGAAGACTTTCAAACTACATAGTGAAATCACTTGTACTCTTTAGCTTATTAAACAGTCTGAGAAGTTACCGAGGCGGGCAGACAGAAGACGGACTGCTCGGAGACCAGACGTTGGGTGAACTCCACGTCACTGCTGAACTCTGGGAACTTGTCTATGTCAATCCCCACCTGCAAGGTAGGATAGAACAAAAAGGCTTTAAAAATGCATTTCTGTAGTCTGACTGCAATGTTGCAAAGAAGCTTGAGATTGTTCACGTTAACTTAAAGACAGAAACAGTTGAATGACTTGAACTACTATAAATTGACCTTACCATCATGTACATAGCACCACAAGGCATGATGGGACTTAGCCCTGGGATCTTGGACACTCCGTTGAAGAACAGCTCTGCATTCCTCTGTCAACACAAACAACAGAGACGGGGATAGTTGTGACTAACAGATCACATCAGTATATACATATGGTGGACTATTGTACTGCACCAATAGATAGAAACATTTTCTTAATGTAGAAAAAAGAAAAGGATTTCTTGAATGTGAATTTTTGTGCGCTTCTTATTTCTTTTGGTATTCAATACACAGCGTGTCAGTGTACAAGTTTTTACGTTGATCATATGTTCTATAATAGTATGCTCGTAGACTGCATAATATATAATGAGGGCAATATTACTTTGCAATTAATAATTGGCTGGACTGCACCCTAACACAAATGAATGGTCTACAAAATATTTTCACCGTGCTTATATAACACGTATCTGCCGTGTGAACAATTTGGGAGGGAACAAGGAGGGAGACAACACAATTAACAAAATCTTATTACGGTGACTAGCCAACCACCACTATCCACTGCCCGCTGACGACGCGCCGTGACCGATGCCCGTGCAGCGGTTTGCCGAGAGAGAAGGGTGCTTGTTGGAGCGTCTCTGGGCAGAGAAGATATAGGTGTAGGGAACATACAGAATGCAACCACCACAATGCAACAGGTGAAGTTATTAAGGGGAAAATGTTAGTAACAGTCTTCCTGTTAGAACTTCTTTCACACATTCAGGGTTGCCAAGCCTGTCTAAGCATGGGTAACCCAATTGAAATCATATATAATCATCATCTTATATCCTTGCAACTGAAAAATTGATATTTGCTACATTTGTTTGAAAATACCATTACAACTGACTAGGAACATAACACCATCATTTGGCCAATTGCAACCAGTCTGAAGTTGTAAACATTGCCATTAGAACAATGTTTAATGCTTTATTTGTGGCCTAGACAGGGATGGACCTAGATAATTAATGTTGGGGTTTCACTTAAGGAAACACCAAACTAAGTAGTGGTGAAAATGTTAGAACTGATTATCTGTCATGCATAGAAGTGACCGTCACATTTATTTGAAAAGAACTTGAATACTGGTGAACCCCTAGATCCACCTCTGCTAGGTCTGTTGAACGACATTTATCACAATACAATTTAATCCACAGCAACTAACACCACATTCTACAGTCTAGAGTAGAGCAGCATATGTCTCAGTAACTTACTCTTAGTCTCTTAACAAGAAAAACCAGCTGTGTCAAATTTGCACCAATACAATAAATGATCACAGTATTAAATTTCCCTTCTCACTTGTCTACTTGTCTTCAACAAGCACCACAAAACTCTTTCTGGTATTTTCTAGCTTTATGAACCCTGCTTGGCAACCCTGACCTTTCTTTCTTTTCCAAATTGTCTGACTTAAAGTTACGCAACGTCTACTTCTACATAGGAAATCGTCATTTAGGATGAAAAAAAAAGCAGACATAAAGTCTTCTCTCCTGACCTGTACGAGAGCCATGGTGTCCTGGTAGAAAGACTGGGGCGTTTCCTCCAGAATCCGCGGGATGGCGGCTTGGATCAGCGTGTTGGGACCCAGAATCCTTTGGGACAGTCTCAGCAAGCCATTACGGACCTGACATGTGAAGAACATTTAGTCTGTCACTTACAGGATAGAAGAGCTTTAGTCTAGTCAATTATTTGAGATTTTGAAGAACAAGTGTACACTTATGTATGACAGATGTATATGAATATGAATTCTTAGTACTTGAAAGCATCAAGACAGCACAAACCTCCACCATGGCAGCACAGTTTTCCTTGTATACATGTTTTTACGTATTAAACTTTCTTGCAGCATAATGTACAAAATTGTAATCTGCAGTTCAAAGTAAAGCTGGTAGGAGGCTGTCTTGTGTTTGTTAATGTTAGTTACCAGCATACTGTTGTTTCCTTACCTCTGCTTCAAAGGCCCCATGTCGGTCGTGGATGAGCACCCAGCCCACACGCCAGCCTGGGACAATATATCTGGACATAGGCAAAATCAAGAACAGTAAATCCATGGATAGTATAGAAATGTACTACCAAGGTTTCAAGCAACCTGCTTTCACAATTGACCAGCTGTGAAAAGCTTAAAAAGCTTAGTGAAAAGCTGTTAAAAGCTTAGAAATGTACTATCAACTTTTCTTTTTGAAAAATAGCAAAAACACTTTCCTAACAAGAAAAATAGTTGAAGGTAATGAAGGAAGCTACCAAAGTTGATATAAACAATGACACCTGCCTTTTTGCCAGCCCTCCACATGACAGGATAGGCACCTCAGTAGTGAGAGAGGCCATGAAATGAAAGCTGTGTCCAGAAAACACCTGGACGAACACAACAGTAACACATCAGTACTGACAAAAGTTGAAGCACCTGTAACATATACTGAATTCAAGACTATTTGAAAGAAATTTTCCTTTCAGTGTTGTGTACTCACTACTGAACAGGTAATCCAGCAAAACAGGTAAAATGTTACACTGTTACATATGTTGTACAGAAAACTATGAGAAAAATCTTACCATATCTGCATAGATCTCATCTGCCACAATGGGCAATCTGAGCCTCTCTGCAACTGTAAGGAGATAAATAGTGAACATTAGTAGAAGCTAAGTGTTTCCATCATCTAAATGCAATGGTAAAAGCCTGTAGAGCCATTTCTTTTACTACAAAAGAATATTCGTCTGTATTCTACAAAAGTACAATGACAGCAGCTGGAACAGTACAAATCACTTCTCCCAATGTTATTTTCTGCACACTACTTTCTGTTTTAGTTACATTATAGGGAACTGTTGAAAACTTTGCCCAGACCTCGTAGAATGTCCTGTATGTGTTCTTTGGTGAAGACAGAGCCGCAGGGGTTGGAGGGATTGTTCACCACGACGGCTGCAGTGTTCTCATCTACCAACGACTGCAGGTTCTCCAGGTCAATCTCCCAGCAACGCTCAGGCTGCGGAGGAGCAATTCAACACATTATACATTAGCCTTTAACCGTCTCTTTACTTCCTAGCCTTGTAACCCATTCCGAATGGATACCTTAGCAGGTGAATTATTATTATGAAGAAATGAAGGGTAATAGAATGATACTTGAAAAAAAGCTACCCTTGCCCAATATGAACAAAAATATTAATTCTCTACTGCTACACCTACCATACTTACCAGTAAATTGTAGTGTCTAATCTCTACTCCGATGGACTCTGCCAGTGTCTTGTATAGAGAGAAGCCAGGCCTGGGGACCAGGATGTTCTGTCCTGGGTTAGCCAGTACTGAGATACACAGGTCCAGGGCACCCGAACACCCGCTGCCGAATATCACATCCTGTCAACAACAACACACACAGTTTGGTAAAACACGTTACCTGTAACATTACAGTAAACCACACAAAGTACATTTAATCATGTTGCCTATCTATTGGGTAATGATAAGAATTAAGTCTATGTCACCCACTACCATAGTCCTTAAAACTACATAAGGATTCACCTTAAGTCATTGTCTAGTTTTGACATTGCTATTTATTATTTTAATGATCTTAATCATGTTACAAAAGTAATGAATGAAGGCCTTTATTGTAGATATCTGCTCCATTGGGGTAAATACATGTAATACACCAACACACAAAAAAACAGTTCACAAATTTATTATTCCCAATCTATAGGAGAACTAAATTCTAAATTCATGTTACAGAAGTAATGAATGAAGGCCTTTATTGTAGATATCTGCTCCATTGGGGTAAATACATGTAATACACCAACACACAAAAAAACAGTTCACAAATTTATTATTCCCAATCTATAGGAGAACTAAATTCTAGCAAATCAACTCTAAATTTCTGACAACAATTCAAGGCAAAGTGCACCAATAGATATACCTATTATAAGTCTTAAGCCTTCCCCAAAGATAAGATTATGTCTGAGATGAACCCTTTAGCTGCTATACGTGACTATCTAAGGAAACCAAATTGGCTCAGCAGCTTCCTGAGGATGTCAGACAAGCAGCAGACAGAGAACCTTCAATAATCCAAACAGGAAATTGTTGGCAAGACTGAAGCAAAACCCTTTTAAAACAAGAAACAAATTTAAATCCAGAGTTTGCTTACTTTGGCTTCAAGGGGTGCTTCTGGACTGGTGTAATATTTTGCGATGGCTGCTCTCGCAGTTTCATAGCCTGCAAAAAGATATATTTGTGTTAATTAAAAAATGTGGTGCCTTAAGTCTTCTAGTTATACTGTATAACACATGAACAGCACAAATGCGTTAATCAAATCTATAGTTTAAGTTTCAGCCTTCATATACTTCAATATCACTGTTATGTTCCTATACTTCAGCAACTTACCAATGGACGGTGCATAGCCGTTATACTTCCTCGTATGGATGCAGTCAATGACGGCTTCCTCTATCTCACGTGGAGGCTCCAAGTTCCCAAATACGGTCGGATCACCTGAGATTTGATGAATAAATCAGTCAAAATTGAGTTAATGTTGGTAGTAACTTGGTACCTTCTTAAAAATTTTTACCTTGGTTCTAGTGTTGGTAAACCTATGTTAGTATAAGTTTTAGATGCTTATAAGCGCTACTAAAATCTCTTCAATGCAATTCTTCAATGCATCTAGTTTGAATCAGGGTAAAAGAAGCCTAAAGTATATGCATATAGATAGAATAGTATAGAATACCGATAGAAAGAGCGATCATTTTCTTCTCAGGGTTGGGTTCAATCTTCATGTTATCCACGATCTGCCGGATGGGATTGTGGGTGTTTTTCGCCATCTGGGACGAGGGAACGACCCACTTGGCCCGCTTGACTTGCGGATTGTCGCCATGACAGTTTCTGTTCCCATTCACATAGCTATTGCTGCTGCTGGCCATAGTCACCTCGGCCAAGGTTGCAATTTTTTTCTGAAGACTAAAAAAAGAAAAAACAAGGGAAATCGTAAATTTCAAACCTCCGGGTTTTTTTTGTGTTCTATTGGTTTAGGTTATTTGTTTGTGTGTAGTATGAAAGTTATGTGCGTAATATGTTTGTATGTGTTTGATGGCTACTGACGGTTGGTTCGGTATGGACTGTTGATTAACGTGTCTCACAGTCTGACAGCCTGCACCGTCACCCGCGCCATTACCCCCGCCGTCATCCCGCGCCGTCATTGCTGCGCCGTCACCCAAAATTTTTATCGGAACCAGACACCCCTCTGTTTGACCCCTTTTGAATGCTAAGACCCAAAACTGCAACCGCCCCATTCCTTAACAACATGGTAATTACCATTTTCAGCATGGCGGGGGTGTCCGGAGCACTTAAAAACCTTTTATTTCGACGCCCATAAACACATATGCAATTAAACAAAAACGTTCTGCATCATCTGCAGCCCAATAGCAATACGTATACCGAACCACAGACAAATCCGTCCAGCCGATCGCGAGAAACAGCTGCTGACAGAAATGTTTCGAACCATAGTAAAACCTCCTCGCGGAAGGATATCTCCTTCCCCGGAGGTAATTAAGAAACTGCAACAAATAACTCCCCACTTCTGATACAGACCACTGATACAGAAGAGTGAAAATCTAATGCTTTTGCCTCTCAACTTGAGGTCTCGGACCGGAGTTTCCTTCCGTGTTCGGAGCAATTTGACACCCTCAGCCTGACGGGCTGTCATTACTGTACTAAACGCGGGTCGGAATTTTTCACTCTTTTGGTGGAAAGGGGTGCCGTGCCGCTTATCAATACACTTGATTGATATTTTGTGCGCTCACTTTATTTAGGGGTAAATAAGGCACATCAAAGTACATTTTTAAATAAGGGTTCATTTTTTTCGTCATTTTTAACCATGGCTGCATGGAAAAAACGAATTTTCCCAGGGAAACGGCATAGTACTCGAAGAAGCTCATAACCTAATGTTTCCAAAATTTAAATTTAATTAAAATCGATGCGATACGTTTATCGCTATCTTCGATGACCCGAACACACCCACAACGCATATAGAACATACCATCCCGGCGGTGAGGCGAAAAGGCCACATAACCATCCACGCGGACTAATACCAGGAAGTCTTCGCTGGACCACCAACATTATGCCACCTATAAAGACTACAACTAACAGGCTTTTCAGAAAATACAAATATATGTACACAGATATTACGATTTCAGGGATAACGTGGCCAAAACATACCATACAAAGTCACGTTTCCGGCGATTTACTGCGCACTTACTTAGACTCTGGTCAGATTTAAACTCCGACCCGGAACCTTAATGCCATAGCTGTAAATACAACCCAAGGAAGTTACTTCATCTAGGGAATTTCTATTCAATACTTCTTGCACATGATCTGCTACAGACATACACAAAGTTCTTGAAACAATTTGCCTCCCAACATCTGCTTGGAGATGATAACAAGCATGACCTTTGCCTTTTATCAGCAGGTTCATTGACCTCTGTGTGTGCTGGTTCCGGATATGTGGCATTTTACCGCACAGCATGTGGCGACTTACGTAACGAAAAACCGGTTCATTGCCCTGTCAACTCGAGTATTCTGTCCTAAAAAGATATTAGATTATAGCTACCACTTGAACTGATCCTTATAAATTATACGTATAGGGACACCATAGCAAGCAGGTCGGTCTGATGAGAAAAATATGGCGGGCTTTGGTGTTGGAGTTGGCAAGGTCGTAGGCTTCCAGACACATAATCAAAGACAGCTGGGCCATCTTGTGCCACTTGAATCATGTCTACAGCAATAATACCATCTAAGATTCCCAGTGTGGCTGTTTTGAGACGAAACATTACGGGATCTAAGGGAAAATGGTGGACGAACACGAGTTGCAAAGTTAACTAATTAATATATATACCGGCCCGGTTTGTTGTGGTAAATAATGACATTTCTCCCCACTTTAGGGCGGTACTAGTGCATCATATACCACCACACGACACGGGTATATCTTTAGGTTACATTTTAAAGCAAAATTTACATCGTAAATGAAGTATAAAGCGCGGAGATCGTCAAAAAGCGAGATAGACATACCTTCTCCTTGCTCAGCCCTTGATGATATATTGTTACTGCGTGCTTAACATGTGACGCGACGTCATCGCCGCCGCTGATTGGCTAATACATGGGTGGGAACAGAAAGGTGCTTTCTCATTGGTTAACAATGGGTCGTAAGTTTCTTAGGAAAAAATCACAATCCAGTCTCCGAAAAAAAGAAAACTTGGACCTTAGAAACACCAAGACATGTCCCGAACATTTGTATGTTGTGGAGGAACGAAAGATCACAAATTTCGAATGGGAAAGCGTTTTCTTTGTACAGGTGTCAAAATTTCCATATTATCAATCTTTATCAATCACCTGACAACTAACAATTTGTGACGTCATAAATGGCTAATTTCCTTGTGACCTCTGAGTTCTCAGAGGTCACCGGTATCAAGGAGAAAAATCCTTGTTTCTGTTAATATCATAGAAAAGAAAAGGAGCAAATGCAAGCCAGCTAGTAGTACATTGTAATGGTTTCCACTGACACTTTTGCGTTGCAGTGTGTGGAGGGGGGGGGGCGATTGCTGTTTTTGTTTACATCATACACATGCGGATTATTTGAAGACATGTGCAAAATATTGGTAGGCAAATCAACCAACCGTCAGTCAATTTTTGCCTACCGTGATGTCATGGCGATCGCTTGCTTAGTCCCTTGTTAATATCTGTGAAAATCCTTTTTTCCTTGAACATTTTGGTCCCGTGCGGAGACTTTGGGGGCTAGAAGAAACAGGTAGGGTCTACACTTTCCTACTTTGCTCAAGTTTTGTTTATTTCACCAGTTTAGTGGGTATTATGAGAGACCTGAGTGATAAGGTCTTGCCTGCCCAGAGTGGATGGATAAATGAGAAATAGTTCAAAAGTTTGTTTACTCTTGTCAGCTGTTGCCAGAGTTTGAGCTGGTCAACCCCCCGTTTTCTTTCTATATTTTCACCAGAGAACTTTGTGGCTCTCTGGTGCAGAAGAATGTTGAGATCGAAACATATGGAAAAGAACGTTCATGGGGACTTGTTTCTGTATACTTATTCATATATAGGTTCCTATGACCAAATGTAATAGTTTTGTCTGCCCTTCAGTAAGGATACCTGGCCAGGGTGTTGGGGCTGAGTGGAAAAATTAATTCCAGTTTCTCTGCTTTGTGTCCTGACACTAGTCAACTGTTTTGTTGCGTCATATATAGTCATCATAAAGGGCTATTAAAACAGATTTCATTGGGGACGCCTCTTCAGACAGTCTGGTCTGAAAACAATCCTATACCCACTTTTCAGACTGGAAAATTGAAACAACATGGCTGGTAGACGACACTTTGATGTTGGTCGCGTGGCTTGTGGTTGTCTTGGGGTTACTGGTACATGTACTGGTACACGGAGCTATGACTAGTACTACGGTTGATGGCAACGTGAGAAATATAATCTGATATAAATTAGGTACAGTATTATATAAGAGGCAATAATAGAGAACTTGGTATGGATAAGAGGGTAACAAAGCGCATACCTTCCGGGCCCCTCCGAGATGCCGAGATCCTCTAAGACTGGCATTGGTATCCTCCTGCCATTCTGCAGTACCCTGCTAGGTGACGCTTTAGTACCAAGGACAGGTAGACCAGTCCCACTGGATCCGGAGATGTTTCATGTAAGATTCTGAAATTTATTGGCTGTTCCTTTGATAAACCTGGGGTAACTTTGCATATCCCTATTGTCAAAACACGTATTTCATTTATTACAAACATCAAGTAACGTTACAGCATACTTTTATCATACAAAAAATTTATTAAAAAGTATATGTTGATGTGTTTTTTTTGCAACATACAAAGAATTATGTTTTATCAAATCTCTGGGAAGATCCACTAGATGGTAGTTGGTAACACAACAAATGTACGTTACTGCTAGTGCTCAGATATTGACTTTGACACATTCCAATGCACTTTGTACCTTGCATAGTAACGCTGTTAGCACTATGAAGTCGCTAGAAGTCGCTTCATCAATAATTTTGTTGCATTGAGTGAAAACTAGAGCTACTCGTAAATGACATCCAACAATGGCGAGTGCAATGCAACCGTACCATGGTACTAGTTTTTAATTTGGGGACATTGGCAGGTAGAAGGTCACTGTAGTAGAGGGTGTTTAAAATCACAGCGGCTTGAAGTTACTGAAGGAAGGGTAAATATTAAATATGCCGTTATTTGAGATACGAATGGCAATCATCGCGAAGGCAAACGTAGCAACAGGTCGTATGTACGTAAGTGAGTGTAATTAGAATCGTTCCACGTATTGGGCGATGTTGCCGGTATCCTACAATGTCGTACGTCGTAGTGTGACAACACTAATACAACACTACTAATTCAACGGTGGTAACCAATGACTGACAAATGACCGATTCTGTACACCAACTGCACCGCATACAGGAAACTCGCCCGAATCAGAACTTTATACTATTTCCTACTCGAACTGTGGTTTAGGGCATCTTTTACAACTGTGCCTCAGTCCGAACAAAGAAGTTTTAAAACGAATTCGGAAATATACACCCCTCCCTCCAATGGAATCACCCACCATACTTAGGACCGCAAATTCTGTGCGTTGCCAGGGGTTACGAGAGGTTAAATCCATTGGATCAGGAGTATCTGTACTGTTTCATCACTTGACCTTTATATATGCGCCCTGATTGCTGTTATAAGTGTATTGCTGTGTTATGAGTGTATTGCTGTGTTATGAGTGTATTGCTGTGTTATGAGTGTATTGCTGTGTTATGAGTGTATTGCTGTGTTATGAGTGTATAAGTTTGACGACGTCATACGTCCGCCAGCGTCTTGGAAAGTAATTGAGTAATTCAAAACTTTGAAGGTGAAGATGGCTCAAAATGGTACGCACCATTTTACAGTTCGACTTTATTCTTTTGATGTCTTGCGCGGTAGAGTCTTCTATTTCTCGTCTTTATTCCAACACGCACACACGTACACACGTACACAGCACGCACGCACGTATACTAGTATGCACACACACACGCACACACGCACGCATGCACGCACGCAGGTATAGAGAGCCGCAGCAGTGATGCTCTTGGCTTACACTAACCAACATCCGTTTCTGATTTAGCTTACCTTACCCAGATTAGCTGAAACCAAGCCGTTTAATGACAAATAAGTCCGGAATAAGCCAACATTGCGGTGAAGAATTAGTCATTTCCTGAACACACCATCGGCTCCCGGTTCTGTCTAGGGAAGGCTTAAATGTTAAGATAGATGTTAATCCCGGAGAAAGTCCTTCCTGATGCTAAAAGTGGTTTTACAAATCGAGAAGATCAAGACACGAGGACACTCTCGGGCGCCTGGTATTCCGGTCCTTGAACGCCGACAAATCACTTGATGGGTTCTGTGGGTTTTCGCGCGGTTTGGTTTTACGTACTAGGACAACTATACTGCCCTTGTGTTCCCGCTGATGGCATCACGGAGCTATGCAGAGAAACAACATGTCCTCCGAGGGAGAAATTCTAGCTTGGTATCTCCGCTGCCATCTACGGGGTGGACGCAGACACAGTTTTACATGGACCGAAACGCAAACAGCACTGCCCTCAGCACTGGCCAGTAGCCGGTTGTTTATGTTAACTTCGAACTCAGGGAATATCATGGAAAATACTCGAGTTCCAAGATTTACATTACAGTCCTCCATTTTAATTTATCTTGTTACCAAGAACACTCATTTTGTCAGTTGCCTGTTACTCTTCAGGTAAAACTCTTCAGGTAAATTCAATTTGTGTTTTCAAACACAAACACAGCCTCACAAACAAAGACAATACTGATTGTGACACTATCGAATATGATAATTAATTCACAATAATATATACATATGTAGTTTTAACCATTTTTTGCTGTCGTGTTTTTTTTTTATTCAAAGCGCGAGAAGATGACAGTCAGTTGATAAAAGCGGGTGTGCCGTGCGTGAGGAAGGCGTTAGGAAACTGAGTCAGCCGGGGACAGCCGTGTAAACCCAGACGCTTGGCCAGAAACTTTACCCCGCCTTGCCGCGGACCTGAACAACATCCACTTCTATGGACATTCGGGGGAATGTCGAGAATCCACCCGTCGGCAAGGCGCGTCCTCCCAGCCTTCTCCGGGTCATTTCCAAGACGGAAACAACGAGGCCGCCATCACTCTCTGGTGAATAACCATGGAAGCTGGTAGAATCCGCGGAATCTTGTGCATGTTCTAAGCAGGACTCCAATATTGGCCCGCTCATTGTGGATGTGCAGTCATAGCCAGAACGATACGCCAAATTCTGAAAGATGTCAGAATGCTGTTGTCGTGGAAAGGCAGGAAAAGCCAACGCGTCAGCAAAACGGGATTCCGCCGTGAAAAGAATATGACAGAAACTTTGACGTGTTCCATAAAACTTTTTGCACCGTTACGCGCGAAAACTATTCAAAGTCATTACAGCTGCGCCGATAACATTCAGACCGGGCCTGTATTGTGAACCATTGTTGCCCTCCTGCTAACAGAACTATGTCGTTTGGGACAAAGGATTTTCAAAGAATAATCAATTAATGCACCTTATATTGTCAGAAAACGAGACAATTTTACTCCAATTTCTTGCTTAAGGGCGTAATATGTCTTTCCACCAGTTCGGTACTCCAAACCTAGCAAATGTCTAGGCATATTGAAAGCAGATGATAATAGATATCTAGTGCAGTCTTACGAGCTTCGTACAACCACGCCTTCACTACTAGACAAAAGAGAGCAAGACAAGGCAGCCATACTCTCGTTTAGAATACAGCTACCAAGCTTCGTCTTTAGACTACCGTGATAACGGTGCAAAAAGCTAATGTCGTCGAAAATTAATATATGTTCTCGTAGGCCTTTTATAGACAATAGTTTGATTGATATGGAGACAGAATTGAAATTGGTGAAAAAGTAATCATGCAGCCCTAAGGTTAGCAAGCCTCCCATGCTGTTTACAACTATTTTTCAACAAGGTGGGTAAGTTGCGTAACGTCTGGGGCAGCTGAAGACTGAAACGGGCCACCGTGCGTTCACAAACACGCAATGACGGCACGCTTTCCAACATGCTTGAACAACGGCAAGAACACGGAGAGGAATGTTTGTATTGTTCGGTAACTCGGTGACATTTAGGAAAGATTCTCCACATCTCTAGCTTTTAAGTGGTGCCGTTTTTGCTGATTGCGAGACCACGTAGTGAAAAGCGTATGCCACAAAACAGGCCCGAACTCCAAGCAGATACTTGGGGATTAGGAACGAGATGATGAGATAAGGCAGACTTTTATCTGGGACTATAGTTGTATAAAACGT